CTCAAACAACTTCTCACAATATTGTCAATTATATACCAAGAAAAAGGGGCTGGTCCATCACTTCCACCACCAAAATTGTCGAAATAGATAAATCTTTCTCATTCTCGCATTGTATGTCATGAAAGCTCTTGCTTTAATAGGGTCAGCATTCAAATACTCAAAAGCATACATCTGTTTTGCCTCATCCAAGCCATCAACCTCCATCACAGCCTGTAAGAGTTCTGAAGTATTAATTGTGGCTTTACCTCGCTCCATTGCATCAGCCAGGCGTCGAATGCTAGATGCCACTGCCAACATTGCCTCCTGAAGGGCATCTGAACCACGGGGTCTTTTTGGAAGTTGTTTAAGAGGCTGAATCAGAGGAGGGTCTTGACTACCATCTTGCATATACTCTTGTGTCCCAGTGTATGACTCTGTTCCATCTGTGTCACTTAGTTCTTCTGAACTTGAAGAGAATGAAGCAGAATCTTCTTCACAATTTTTAAACTCGGTGGCATGGCTCCCTTCCTTCATCTTAGCCCAACGGCTTGGCGCTTGATAATTACCACAAACAATTTTCAGTTCATCGTACATCTCAATTTGCTTTCCTCGAAACGCTCTTGCATCTGGATGTGCCTTTCCAATCATTTGAAGCTCATCAACAAAACATCATGGATTAATAAAATAATGAAAGAAAATAAATATAAAGGAGAAAGAAAGAAACTTACTGCAATATATCTCTTCCAAAGATCATCGTTATCAGATTCAATGGTCTTCGTATTTGGATTCCATCTGAATCCATCTTGACTTAGCATATCCCGCATCACCTTATATCTCTTCTTTATGGTCTTAAGGCGATTAACAACCTTTTGATTATTCAAGTTTAAGTTAAAGTGACTGTTCACAGCAATACAAGCTGCAGTATATGCATTTTCATTAAAGCACTTGTCAATTTTATTTCCATTTTTTGCCTGAATAGCAAGAGCTTCTATTAGACACTTATCCATCGCAATTGACCAAACAACATTCCTTCCTTTATGCTTCATTCCCCTTCTCTGTCCTTGCAAGTCATAATGGTCCATTCCTAAGTCTGTAAAATCAGGTAACTACATATTTGAGTATGTTTGGGCATGAGTGAGCACATTTATCATGAAATCTGGGCCACAATAGGTAAGTAAGAGCATAATAGCAAGGACAAGATTAACAGCTAAGCACTTTTGGCATCGCATCTCTAGCATAACCATTAAATCAAAATAGTGATCCAGCTAAGCAATCAACTTTCTATATAAATGCATAGTTAGTTTTTTTTTTTTTTGAAAGAAATAAATGCATAGTCAGTATTATAGCTCCAATCATGGAGACATTATGTCAATGGCAGCTGGCAATTTGAAAATAAAAGCTACAAAAGCAAACCTCTTTCTCAAAAAAAAAAAAAAGAAAGAAAACTCATGATTTCCCTTTGATTTGAAAATTAATATGCTTCTTAAAAAACAAACCTTAAAAAGTTAGGTCAGTCTTCAATGTCAGGCATTTAAGATTTTACTAAAAAAGGACATTTTATAAATCAGATATAAAAATCATATTATCAAGTAGAGAAAAGATCCTATTTATCTAGCACCCACCAACATAGTCCACCTCTCAAGAGGGGCATCCTGATGAATACCACCAAAGAGAATCCTCATTCAACAAAGGCTTTGTTTGTTTCGGCTTCTTGTACTTCTGCTTAGATTCAGCTTGAGCTCAAACAAACACAAATTTTCTACTCAATTTGAACTAGAACAACTAAAGGAGCACTTATACAATAAAAAGCATCAGCTTCAGCTATAAGCAGTATAAAATTGCATAAACAGCTATAAATTTTATGCGAGACCCAGTGTTAACTTCCATCTCAATAGAGCTACTGATTTTGGCTCTCTTGCTCGCAATTCCAGTCTTCAAGGAGGGGAATTGGTTCCAGAAGGAGGTTTGCTTGAAAATAGTTGACAAAGGGATAAAAGGCAATTCCATTGGCGAGGTTAGCAAAGAATGATGGTGTCAGCAGGATTAATTAACAAAAGAATGTTTAGGATATGTTTGGAATAAAACCAAGAATTTTGTGGAATTTCAGTTGTAATTTGTACTGACATGAGAAAAAAATAGATTTCACATGGAACTCTACTTAGAATATTGTATAAGATCCTTTTTTTACATTCTTATAATTTTCACCATCTACCGGTTGAACTAAACGTGAATTTGCAAATGAATTTTACAAAATTTCTGTAGTCATTCCAAACATAGCCTTAAAAGTAGGCAGCAAACAAGGTTCGAATTCTGAAATTAGTTAACAAGGGTGATTTGGGTTGCTATCCGGGAAAAGTTCGGTCGACAATGTGCTTCTTGTAGCTCAAACAAATGATACAACATGATGTCTCAAATTGGGCGGTTCAGTGTATTTTGGAGGTAGTGAGACTTCATGTAAAAGAAAGTCAAACTCTTCAATATAGCTCTAGATTATAGTTTGCTGGGTGAGCTTAGTAAATGCTGCCGTAGGGTCACAGAGAGTCGTTAATGGGTCATTCTCCTCACTTGATCGAGGAGTTAGGGGACCTTATTGATATTTTAATTGATATGTAAAGATTTTGTATATGGGCTTGGCACCCCTTTGGTGCCATTGTTAATACTATACTTTACACTTGATATTTCAAAAGAGAAAAAGGGTCACATAGAGTCAAGTCATCAAATCTTCTGTTCAATACTTCAACATAATCCTTTGAATTTGGCTGTTCTCTTGTAATTTGAGATTTCATCTATATTTGATGTGCCTATAACTCCTAGTCTTCGATATGTCTGGAAGTTGCCTTCATTTTTACGCTAGATAGAAATTTCTCCAATTCAAGTACCTCTAATGTACAAAAACACATCCCCTGGAATTATCACCATATAAGTTGGGAAATTAGATCTCAGTGACTTGAGTGGAGATTTCAGAATTTGTTTCTATTCAAGGGAATTGTTGGTGATCTCATCTTGATGTTTAAGGGTTATGGGACTGATTCTAATGGGTAGTTGCTAGTATATGAATTTGTGTATGGTTTCAGGATTTGATGCGAACATCAGGTGGCTCATTGGTTCATGTTGACTGGTTCATATTGAATAGCTTTCAGGACTCTGAAACTTGGAGAAGACAACTTCACGTAGTTGATCTTGTTCTAGGTCAGTAGTTGGAGTCAATCCTCCTTCTTAGTTGATTGTTTGCAATTGTACAACTTGTTTTCTGGTGAACTCTTCAATATACTAAGAAGCGTTTGATCTTGGTTCTTGTTGTTTGCCTAACTAAGTGATTTCACCATGTTCTTGACTTTCTTCAAGTTTCTCGAATTCCTAATTGCCTGTGTTACCGACACTTGCCATGATCATCAGTTTGGTATCACTTGCTGGACCATAGATGTGTACCAACAGAAATAACAGAAAAAAAGGCCAAAAAGGGAAGAAATCAAAGGTGAAGAAGAACGAATAATATTCTTATTTCAAAAGCATACTGTACTCCCTCTATTAAAGCTGGAGTTGTTACAATTGACCCAATTGACTTAATAACCAACGCTTAACAAACTGACAAATAGAAAACTCAAGAACTAAGGATCTTCCAAATGTGAAGACTACTTAGCTATTGAATTCTCTTACTTCCTTATATCAACTGCATCTTGACAATGAGCATTTGTATCTTTTGCATAATATTTTGTGTTGCCAGGACTATTGGTTTTAAGACCATATCCTTTATTATGAACGAAGAGGCCCTCCTTGGTTATGCTATGTGGAACAAGTTTTTGCAACAAAAGATTGCCTTTAGTTTTTGAATTCCCTATGCAACAATATATCAAAAAATAAAAATTGCCTATGCAACAATATTTCAAAAAGTAAAAATTCCCTATGCAACAAAAGTTTTTGGTTATGCTATGGTGAAGGAGATTTCGAAAACAAAAAGGCTTTCAATGTCGCCCAATATCCCTTCTTTTCCAAGATTTTTACTATACACTTTTTTGATATAGAAGTACCTTTTTTGGGAACTACCATTCAAAAACAAAAATTCAATGCTATAATTGGATGGATAACATAAATATAATTACAACTAGAATGTTTGCTAACCCTTATTGCATGGAATATTATAGAAGGTGTTGTACCTAATATTTGTTGGTAGTATTGCTTTTAAAGTTTTTTCCTTTTTCTTTTTTTTTTTGCAAAATGGTGCTTTAAAGTCACAGTCAAAATACAACATAACTACATTGTATCATACAACATAACTACATTGTATTTAACAGGAGAAAGAGATATATTTGGGGTTACCAGCCATCTAGTCGTTATAAAGAATTATGTTTATATCCTTAGCCATGTCTATTCTTTCTAACTATATAAAAAATAAAAAAAATTTCATGCAATATAGTTCTATAATTATTGAATTCTAGTTTAGCAGAATCTTAATCCTATCATTGCCAAAAATCCTACATGTGTAGTAAAATGAGAACTCACAACAAAATTTTTACAGGAAAGACAGAAGATGATTTTAGAGTCTGTGTTCAGAAGAGCATAAGAAAATGAACAAAGTATGTTTAAGAAAATTTAGATACATTTATATATCCCATTAATATATTTATATGCTCACATTTGGAAACTAAAAAAATCATATATTCTCTGCCTTGTTTTCCCATGAAAGCAAAATTTATTATTTTGAAAAAGCTGCTACATGGTTGATTCTTCAAAGTCATAGATACTTACTTTCTCTGGGCAAAAAAAGAACAGACAACCAACTAATGATGATCCACTGATACTAACTTACAGAAGGCTAGGCTTTAATAAAAAGCCACACCAAAAGCAAAACCAAACATGCCATTGTTATTGCTAGAGACTTTTAGCATATATGAAATCTTCTTGTTTCAGTGCGGCAACAGCCAGACAACAGTCAACCACGAGAAAAGGTAAAAATTTTGAGGAAAAGCTCAATACAATCGTGTAAACTGCGTGTATCTAAGCAGTAGAACGTTCAACATGAAGTTTTAAATGGAGAATATATGAATATGCATATCAAGAAGGTATACTAGATCATCCACATAGCACTTAAAATGTCTAACGGACACTTTTGAGAAGCAACTAAAGAAAAATGTAGAAGATGATAAAAAGGTTGCTAAGTCGAAGTCTAAACAAACTTTTATCAGCTGAAGACACTATATCGCTAAAGGGATTATAGATTCCCTATGCCCATAAGATTACATACAAACTGGAATAGTATTTTAACCACCAAGAGCAGTTGTTCAAATGGCAAAAGATGTTCTTCATAGTTTTTATTCAGAACCTTTTCAACTCTGAAGCACCCACGTGAAAAGAAGTATAATGTTTAATTGCGACACGAACATCGCATAGAAACTGTGCCACCTAGCAACCTCATTTTATCTTGAAATACAAATCTAAACAGTATATGATATAGGATTTGCTACTAAGAAATCTGAATTAAGGAAAATCAGGGGTTTGAAAAAATGAAGTGTTAGAAAAAAATGAATCTGACACCACTATTTATTCCCATACTGACATTAACCCTAACCCCGTCTACGTAGCAACTCTCTCCTCTCTCTTCAATTCAACCCTTTGCCAAACCACCATTAGTATTTGTTTATAGCAATAGTTAACAGATCCCCACTGGTGAGAAGTTCCATATGACCCTTAAGATCAAAACCAATAACTAAAGCACTAAAGTATTAAAATCAGCAAAAACCACGAGATAAACCACAACTTGAAAAAAAAAAAACCACTGAGCAAGAAAATCTTCCCATCACACATGATCGGAGAATCAGCAAAATCCACAGTTTAACTTTAAAACCTTGCTAAATATTTAAGAAAAAATAAAATAAAAGAAAAAATCTCTAGCAACCATTTCTTGTATATTCAAGCCATTCCATGTAAACTACCAAGACAATCACATTTAGTTCACACTATCGTGTTTCATCAATCAATTGGAAAGTAACCTAATAAATTGCTAATTGTTAAAACAACAAAAATTTTCATAAGAAATATACAAAGAGAGAAAGTCTCACCAATTATTCAACTAGTTGAACTCGTAATCAGCAAGAGAAGTCAATTGAGTAACCAAATCTCACAGCGAAAAGAGAAATGGTATTCAAGTTGCAGACTGTCGTGGAGAGAGAAAAGGGAAAGTGGCGTTTTTATATGAAGGACATGTATTGGAATTATGAGAATTCTTCAAGGGCATATTTGGTTTCTAAAAAGTTCATAGTATCCTTTTTCTTTTTTTTGAATTAAAATCTGTCTGCTTATATAGTTATTTTATTCATGTCCTAATTTATAATGTTTGTACAAGTCTATGGATGAATTATCACGAATTCCTCACTTTGATATAGTTACATTAGTCTATTATTTGAAGGCACTTATAGAATAATTATTGTAATTTGGAAAAACATAAGATTTAAGATTAAATTACTTATTATTAATACGAAATATTTTATTTTTTATTTTTATATATCAGTTTCGATTATATTTTTAATTTATAATTTATTTTTATTCTTAAAATAAATTATAATTATTTTAAAAAATAAAAAATTAAAATATCATCGAATAAATTATTAAAAAAATTTAAAATTTTTAAGAAAATTTTATAAAATATATTTATAATTGTTATTATCGTTTGCTCTCAGAAGTTTGTATTTTTAAAATTTTCATATGCTAGATCAGGATATTAATCATTATATATTATTGCATTAAATTATATATTATATTTCTTATTGTATAATTTTTACTTGATTAAATGGTATTATTAAATTTATATTAAATAATATATACTATAAATAATATATAATAATGTCGCATGATCATATATGGATATTAGATAATTAGTAATATAAAATAAAATAAAAGTGACACAATGAATAAAAAATAAACAAAACAGTATTTTTATTTTTAATTATGAATTTATTTCTCAACATATTAAGTAATAGATTAATGCACTTTTGTATTAAAAAAAATTGTAAATTATTAAAAATTTAATAAATTTCTAACATATTACGTGGCATAAATAGTTATCATAAACTATTTATGTAGCATAAGTCATGATTTTTAAAACATGTTATTTTATAAAAATAAATAACGAGGTCGACATATATTATTTATACTAATTTATTTTATTTATTAATTTAAATATCTTATAAATGATAGATAAAACAAAATATAATTCAAAAACTAAGCCCAAAAGTAAATATATACAAGTAAATAAATACATACTTTATTTATATTTTCCACTTGAAGTATAATAATAGAATTAAGTAACTGAAAATTAAAATTTTTTTTATATAATCTTACAAATTATTTATTCCACGAAATCAAAAACAACATTTAAAAATAAAATAAATCATACTTGTTATTTATAGTTTATATATGCGTGTTATTTTTTTTATAAATCAATTAAAATATTTAATAAAAAATTTTACAAAAGTATTTATTTTAATTAATAAAAAATTATTTAAAATTATATTTTATTATGATTGATAGTGTAATTGTAGATATATATTATCATAATTTCATTATCATCAGCAAAAATACTATAAAATATTAAAATTTCATCAAATATATATATATTTTTGTTAAATATAATTATATTTATTTAATTATAAACTAATAAATATTTTAAAATAGTAAATAAAATAACTTTATTTAATATAATAGTATTAATTATACATTTTAAGAAAAAGAAAAATAATACACCCGCAGTGTACCGGGAAACTACATGATATAAATTAATATTAAAAATACAGGGGATAAACTGAAATTAAAAAAAAAAAAAACCACGCGGCGTTTTCATTAATTTTAAATTTTTTTATAGAAACGACAACGTTTCTTGTGTAATTTTGGGTAGTAATGTGAAAAAGGTAGATAACACTAAATAAAAAGAAAAGCGAGAAAAAGACAACCTAGTCCTGACTATAAAACGTACCTCTTCGTATGTTCCGGTCTGGCGAGTTCAGTTGTTGGGGTTTTAGGGTTTTACGCTTTAACACCCGCTTGCTTCAACTCCTACTATCCTTCCCTCAAACGTCACCATGACTGCTCAGGACCATGAAGAGATCCTCGCCGCTAAATTGGAAGAACAAAAGATCGATGTAATTTCCCCCTTCACTCTCGTAGTTTCGTTTGCTCTTCTCCTTATCTTTTACATTTTAGATAGTTTACATGTTTCTTTTATGGATTTTTTCTGCGTCGAATTCGATTGTCACTTTCTTTTGGGTACTTCTGATTGGATCTGTATATTTGTTTAATTTTGAGTTAGGGTTTTGATTTTCACGAGATTGGTGTATTATTATTCTGACTACGTGTATTAGATCTAAGGGAAAAAAATGAAAATAGAAACTCCCTTGCATAGCATCGAAAGAAATACAAGGGTGAAGAAAGAGATCTAAAGTAAAATTTCATTAATGGAGTTCCTAGTTTGAGTTAGTTATAGTATGAAACGGACTTGAAGTTATTTCACGTTCAATTTTATCCGTTGATTATTTTTTCTCAAATTCAATTGTTACTCTATAGGATGTTCTGCCTGCAAGTTGTTATACTCATTTGATCTATGCTTTTGTTTGATTGGTTATTTGGAAGTTTTGCTTGATTTCATCATTGGCCTTTATATACTCATATCTTTTGATTGCACACTTGGGTGGTTTGTTTAATGATGCAATTTCTTTTTATAGCCGGATAAGCCTGTGATTGAAGATGAAAATGATTCGGAAGATGATGAGGACGAAGATGATGACAAGGATGACGATGAGGTTGAGGGTAAGTTATCTGTGAGTTGTAAACGGAGTAATTTTTTTTAAATTTTCTTGTTATCTTTCTGAATCCACATCCTCCACATCCTCCACTTCCTGGTACTTCCAATTTGTAGAGTTTATTGCCTTATAAATAGATTTTTTTCCCTGTATTCTATGTAACGGCTTGTAATTATGTGGGCAAGTCGAAGTATTGTAAGTTACAAATCATAGTATTAGGCGTTAAGGTATCATTTGATATACTTAATGTTCCTGATTCAGTAAGTCCATGATACAAAGAGCATTGGTTCTGAAGCATGAGTAGTTCATTTGTTGATCAATCCCTTATTGGTGGAGAAGTTAGGGAACAATAGAGACCTCTGTGGTGCCTTGTAAACAAATGTACTTTTTCTCCCTAGATTGTTCATCCCATTTTAAATGATGCTTGGCTTTTAATTCCACCCAATCAATGTATGCCCTTTTTGTGGGGTAATCCTTTTTCCCCTCAACTGAACCTCATATTCACTTAAAGATAATAACAAAATGGGCATGGTTGTTGGAGAGTGTTCTCTGGAATTTTACTTAATATCTTAGCCGTGATTTGGTTGTCTGTATGCCTCTGGCATGTATAACTTGACTCATACTTGATGTCAAATTTGCTTCCGACTTAAAGCTCATTGTGCTTGGATGATGTAAATGACACCTGCCCAGAGAAGACTAAGAAGAAAAGAGGGATGGAAATGGTTTACCAAAATAATTATGCTTGCTATGGAGAAGTTTCCTTGGATAACAGGGACTAATGCTTTTGGTCCTACATGATCCTGAACTATTTTGAACACGCAGAAGCATGCAATTAAGGATCCTTTAACATTTTGGCATTGAATCGTCGCATCTTTCATCTTTGTGAATTTGCAGGGCAACATGATGGAGATGCAAGTGGTAGGTCAAAGCAAAGCAGAAGTGAAAAGAAGAGTCGTAAAGCAATGTTGAAGCTTGGAATGAAACCAATCCCTGGTGTTAGCAGGGTTACTGTCAAGAAGAGCAAAAATGTTAGTGCTTAATGACATAAGATCTTCTCCTGTCATTTGCTTTATTATTTCTCTGCCCTGTTTGCTAATTAAATCTTTCCCCTCCTATAAAATCAGATTTTATTTGTCATCTCTAAACCGGATGTCTTTAAGAGCCCAACATCAGATACGTATGTAGTCTTTGGAGAGGCAAAGATTGAGGACTTGAGCTCACAACTGCAGACTCAGGCTGCGGAGCAATTCAAGGCTCCAGATCTCAGCAACGTGATCTCCAAGGCAGAGACATCTACGGTGGCCCAGGATGATGAAGAAGTAGACGAGACGGGAGTTGAGCCCAAGGATATCGAATTGGTGATGACACAAGCAGGAGTTCCGAGATCAAAGGCTGTGAAAGCACTCAAGGCTGCTGATGGAGATATCGTAACTGCAATCATGGAACTTACCAACTAAGAGAACATCTGTCTCTAATTTGTTTTGTGATGAAGTAAACAGTATTTTTAGTTATGGTTATCTGCAGAGTTTGAAGTTGCGCATCGTTTTCTTTTAGCCTCAGTCATTTCTTTTTGTTTTTTTTAAATGGGTAATTTCTGTTATTGGTTTTGCCTGTTGTACTAGTAAGACCCAGCATAAAGTGGAGCACTTGCTTTCTCTGTTATTCCAGGCTTTGGAAATTTTTATTGTGGAAGGGAGAATTCACTTGAGGTGTGTATGTTGATCGGATTCTGTTTAGGTAAACGCAAAAAATTATAATGAATTTTAAATAACGGTAGAAAAAATATGTTTAGGATATGATTACTGTTATTAATTTGTAAATTTAATAATAATCATCATTTAAATAAAATTTATTTTAAATTAAATAAAAATAATTTAAAATTAATATTTCTTTTTTTTTTTTTTTAAAAAAAGGTTATCTCCATCAAATGCACAGTCGCGTGAGACACGAGCATTTTCTCTTCGCAAAAGACTAGGTAGGCCTACCAGCGCATCCACGTGGCATATAATGATTGGTTGAAAATAATATCTAACTGAGGATATGAAAAAGCAGTCCTACTCTCCCTCTTCCCCCTCTCTCGCGTTTCAGTTCCGATTTAAATGCTTTTATATGAAGAACATGAGGAGGGAAAACTAAAAGGTCTATTCAAAATCTCTCATTTTCAACAAGGAAACCAAGCAATCCTCCAGCGCACAAGCGTCTATTCTCTGCCGTCTTGAACTGTGAAAGGTGAGAATCGACCTCCATTAAAGCTGCATTACCAGTTCTTCACATGGCTACATTTAGGGCACTGTTTGGTTTTAAAGTTTAAACCAAAACGATTTCGCGATTCTATGGTTTCTTCTTTTGGTTTCTTGCTTTGCAAGGCAGAGGGGAGAATTTTTATTTCCTCTTCTGCTTAGCCTGTAGATGTTACTTCTGATTAAGCTGTATCTATGTTCTGAGCTGGAAGAAGAGGAGTTCTAGAATTCTCAGCAGAAATGAAGTCTTCTAAAGAGGATGAAAAGAAAGAGGAGGATGCGGACGAATCAGAGGACTGGTGCTTTGTCTGCAAGACGGCGGCGACCTACTCCTCTGTGATTA